GAGGTTCGAATATTTGTGTTTACTTACATTGTTAGGAACTTTAAAGCCTTATGTTAATTTCTCTTTAAATGCAAAGTTTGATTAAAATTTCAACTTTATTGGGTTTTGTTATTTTAGTGATGTATACAAAACAAGAATTTGGATAGACTACTGTCTTTTTATTTTCTGTTACTTCGTACATATTTTCTTTTTAGAAAATCTATCTCGGATTCTAGTTTTTATCATTTGTTAATAGGAAGGAAAAAGTTTATATAAGGTTGCAACTTTAAAATATAGAATTAAGGCACACCTCAAAAGTCTATCATAAAAGGTTGTTTTAATGTTGAAAAAGCCTCTAATTGATCATTTTGACATTAAGATGTTTGAATATGAAAAGAAAAAAAGATTTCAAGTCCTAAAAATAATGTATCTTGCAAAACATTATCTGAACCATCTATTTTCAAGATTTTCATGTGTTTCTAGATCTACTTGATTTGAACTTTTTTAGATTTTAATATTTTATAATTAGAGATGAAAATAAATTCTCACCCTCCTAAAAAAAATTTATGATAAAATTTAGAGGTGTGCCTTAATTGGATTATTTACGGTTGCAACCTTATGTAAACCACACCCTATAATTATTATGTTTAATAGTATATTGTTGTTGTCTTGCTATATACTCCCAATAAAAAAATATGTGTTTTTGGCCATGCCATTAAAGGAAACATGCCATGTTTTTCATTCATTCTTTAATGAGAACTTAGGTAAATGTGTTTTCAAATATGACCCCAATTGGTACCAAGTCAAATCAATTATTGTCCAATATGACTTCATTGCATCCAAACTGTAAGTGCAAATTGTGACTTTAATCTATATGTATACAGAATTAATCTTGCAACTGTATTTTTAGCGAAGTTCATAATATTCATATTTTTAACTTACCTATTTTTTTAGGGAAAAAGTTTATATAAAGTTTATGGAGTCAAATGGATTGTTGAAGGTTGCAACCTTATGGAAACCACTTCCATTTTTTTACGGTCTGTATTACTATCTTAATTTTTTTCTTCAATTATTTTGATCCAAATCGATCTATTTTTGGTTAGCTCATACAGTATCATTCCTATATCATACAGTATTTCAAAATTTGGAATCTCTACCCGACCCGCGAGGGCCCATTTCTGATTCAACCCGTCCAACTCTTCAATCTGGACCTCCCTATCCTTATTAAAGAAAATAAGAAAAAGTAAAAAAAACCAGAGTTTCGGGGAGAGCCGGAGTTCCTGGAACCTGAACCGCCTGACTGATGAACCCATTTTGGGTCGAAACTTACCCAGAATCTTTTTTTTGCTATTAATATCATAAAAACATCGTTTCTATAGTGATTTGAGAATTCTAAGCCTTGGTTAAAAATTTTGAACAAATGAGATTTAAATTTTATTATATATATATATATATATATATATGTGTGGATGGCGAGCGCAACGAGGAGT